TATCTCGGTACACAATGCCTTTAATGCTATCCCAGCAGCTTCTAGCCAATAGACATCTCATGAACAAATGGATAGCAGATTCATCTTCTCCATTACATAGCTAACAATAAAGGTGGTACCTGAACATGCTTTGTCCTCAAAAGATCAATAGTTGGGCAAGTGGTTGAACAAAGTTGCTAGAAAAACATCTTGATCATCGGGGGTAGTTGTATCTTCCATGCCTTTGTCCATAAGGGAACTTGGGCAGATTGCATATTGCCTTGTAGCTTCCTATAACAGCTTTGTACTGTATAATCCCTTTTCTCATCCTCCATCCATATGACTCTGTCTACAGGTTTCACATCTGCAATAGGGATGGTCTTGATCCGTTTCACATCCTCTTGTAGAAATAAAACCTCTAATTTTAGACATGTTCAACAAAGCCTACACTTTAGTGTCCCTTGGATAATCTGTCATGGGTGTTTGAACAAAAAGAGAATCATTATTATGGAGCCAAGGTTCCCCCGAAACTCTAATAGAAATTCCATCCCCCACTCTCCATCTATACCCACTTTTCATAACATTCTACCACTCAAAGATGCTACACCAAATAAAGGATGGATTACCCCTTAAATTAGCTTCAAACAAAAAGAATTTCTTTGAAAGTATCTAGCTTTATAAAATTTGGACAACAAGGAATTAGGGTATTAGATTTTATCCTTTGTGTTTGTTTACCCAATAAAGCCACATTAAAGTCCTGAATCCTTCTAAAACTCATCCCACCCTGTTAAGCCATGTTATTATTATTATCTTTATTGTTATTAGTTTTGTATTAGAATTAGTCAATAAGTTTATTACAGATTGACTAGCCTATTGTGTAGGAGTAGTTTACGATTATCTCTCTACTATTAAGTGTTTCAGTTGTAACCTCTTTCAGTTGAATGAACGATCATCTTCTCATCTGGTATCAGCAGACCAGGATCCGTTCTCTCTCTAATTCTCACCTCCACCACCACCATACCCCCTCCGTCCCTCACTAAATATGTCCACGAACTCTTCAGAAAGAACAGTCACCGCCGCCCCTTCCGCCGTGCCGGCCGCCACCGCCAACCCCATGTCGGGTGCGCATCACTTCGTCTCCCTGAAGCTAACGATGCGCAATTTCCTGTTTTGGAGAACGCAAATATTGCCTTTTCTCCGCGGTCAGGATCTCTTAGGGTACGTGGATGGCGAAATCCCGTGTCCACCACCGGTCATTGATGCGGCTCCGGCCTCCGGCGAGTCAGCATCCGCCATCACCACTCCGTCACTGGTTCCGAACCCTGCATACAAAACATGGGTAAAACAGGACCAGTCCATAATGTCATTACTCATCTCGTCGTTATCCGATGAAGTAATGCATTTAGCGGTCGGCCATGGCACTTCCCGAGAGGTATGGGAATCGATCACCACGGCCCTGAGCAGCTCTACCCGCGCTCGGTGCCTGAGTCTTCTCGGCCAGTTCCACTCTCTTCGCCAAGGGAACAGCTCCATCACCGAATACCTAGGCTGCGCTCAATTATTGGTCGAAAATATAGCGCTGGCCGGCAGACCTATTTCACTCGACGAACAAAACTTGTTCGTTTTTAGGGGTCTGCGTCCGGAGTACAAGGCGATGGCGTCGTCTCTTGCAGCGGCCGGGACTCCAGTGACGATCTCCCAAATATCCGATCACTTGCAAGCCCAAGAGTTCATTCATTCCAAAGATTTTCCGGCGGGATCCGACGTCGGCTTCGGTGCTGCTCCAGTCGCGAACTATGCGGGGCGGGGCAGGCACAATGGTGGCGGACGAAGCTCCGGCAATGGCCAGAGCCGGGGCAATGGTAACCGCGGACGAGGAGGCAACCGTGGACGTGGCCGGAACAACCCCCCACGCTGCCAAATCTGCCGAAATCAGGGGCATACGGCCGTGACATGCTACCAGCGGTATACCGGGCAGTCACAGCCGCAGGCCCACGTCGCGGTGACCGCCGATGATGGTGTCTCGGGAGGATCCGGTGGCTGGTTTCCCGACACCGGCGCCTCGGCTCACGCGACGCCCGACTCTAGCTTGTTGAATCAATCCGAAGAGTATTCGGGCAGTGATGTTCTACGCGTAGGTAACGGGACAGGTTTGACAATTACTCACGTTGGTCACGCATCTGTATCATCAAAATCAAACCCATTAAAATTGTCTAATGTTTTGGTTGTCCTTGAATTGTCAGTTCCGTTACTTAGCAATTTACTAACGAAAATAATTGCTTTTTTGAATTTCACAAAAACTGCTTTTTTGTGAAGGATTCCACAACTCGGGCAGTGCTGCTTAAGGGGCCCACATTGGGTGGCCTATACAGACTCCCAATGTCGCAGTCACACTTCGCGTTTCTCACCTCTCGCACAACCTCGGACGTGTGGCATCGCAGGCTTGGCCATCCACATGCGAGTGTTCAAAGTCGTGTCCTGAAATTCTGTCCAGTTTCGGTCAATAAAGCTTCCGCGTTGGAGTTTTGCAAATCGTGTCATTTGGGAAAAGCTGCTAGATTTCCATTAGATAGGGTCCCGTTCAGTAGTAATAATGTATTAGATTTACTATATACTGACATTTGGGGTCCATCTCCTGTAATATCATCTAGTGGCTTCAGATATTTTGTACTCTTCGTGGACGATTTTTCACGCTACTGCTGGTTTTATCCCTTACGGGTAAAATCAGATATATATACAATTTTTGAGTCGTTTCGAGTCATGGTAGAACGCCAATTTTCGCGTTTTATCAAGTCCACTCTTTCCATCTAATGCCCCTGCTCCTTCTCCTTCACAAGTCACAACCCCACCAAAACTCATTCATGACCCGCTCAATCTCTCTCCCTATTTCCAAAGGAATTAAGAAAACACTCATAGCATACGTTGGTATGGCTTGGATGACATTCTTACAAAGAATTTTCCTCCCCGCTCTTGAAAGGAATTTGTTTGTCCATCTTTTGATTCTACCTAACACTTTGTCCTTTATAAAACCTATTTGTAACACCCCCAATTTTCAGCATAATTTAAAACCATTAAAGCTTATGAAATAAAGGCAAGACTAACATTAATACTCAAACAGAGCGGAAGCTAAACATCAGAGTTAGGGTGTTATGCCACATCTAAGCTAGAGAACTTAGATGCACAGGCTAAACTAACTAAGCAAGGTATAATCCATAAACATTAACCGAATACAGGCATGGCACACATGCCAACTAACTAAGCTAATACTAACTAAGCCAGGAACCGCAGCTCCTTCTAGCGCGCTCTCGATCAACTAATCAGTACTTGAAAAACATGCGGTATTACAACCGTTAGCGAATAATGCTACGCAACCCAATCCCACGCGTTGAGTATAATACATATAGATATAAGAAAACCATTTTGAGACTTGGGAATACATAATATAGTCCTAAATGACTCTAGCTTTAAAACCAGGAATCAGACTCAAGGCATATCAATAGACTCGACACGACCTGATGCATAAGGACACAACATGAAATTAAGACCACAAAACAAGACAACAACAATAACAAATAACAAGTCACAACAAGGCCACACAACAAGACACGCCCATGTTCCAACCTTATGCCAAGTTCCAACCTTTACACCTCTCCATCCTTATAACAGTTCCAACCTGTACCTCCAGGCCACCCAACACACCACGTCCTTATCCCTCCGGAGCACCGCATCTCCCCTCCAACATGACCTCCAATAATCCACTGATCAATCAGCACTCGCAGTGCCATCACAAACATGATCTGTGCCTATAGCACAATGATCAAGTGGTCTGTGCCTATATCACAATAACCGAGCACTCGTAGTGCCAAAACATAACCTGATTTGTGCCTGTAGCACAATAATCAGGCGACCTGTGCCTATAGCACAATGATCAATGCACTCGCAGTGCGTCAAACCACCAACAAATCTTTTCCACCAATTTCACATCTTTTCAACACCATGGGCAATAGCACGACAATCAAGACTCAACAACAATTACATCACGAGGTTACCGGGAAAAGGCACAACATAAACTAAAATATACAACCTACGAGGAATAACATAAACCACACGTTACAAGTTTAGACCATATGCTTAGAAACGACTCACAAATCACGTTACGGTACCTAAAACATCATGCTAGACTCACACACGTCAAACGAGACACAACGAGACACATGGTTTGACCCACGGAGACCGAACGACCCTGCACCGGCTCGTACCTGCTGGGGGTACGGCAGGAAGACAACCTCCCGCTGGCAGAACCACACCGTTCCAGCGGGTGGCCGTCCACCCGCGTGTTCTCCCGCTGGAACATTCACTCCCCCTGGCGGGTGGTCAGGTGGGGGTTCGTCCCCCCACCGACTACCCGCTGGAACATGCTTCTTGGCCAATTTTCCCAACCCGGGAATTCATCCAATTCACCCAAAATCAAGTCCCAAACACGCCCAAACACATACCAACAACAATAGGGACTTGATCATCAAGAATAAGCGAAGAAACAACACAATTAAATACTAACCACAAGCACTAATCATGCCAAGACTCAAGAATTAACACACAATGGTTCAAGAACATCAAGAACCTCAAGAACTCAATCATACCAAGCTTTAACGACAAGTCCTAAACCTTGAATAACACCCGAGCATGCATAAACCCACCCAAGAACGCCAAGAACGTTACCAATAACAAGATCCAGCACGTAAATCCTAAGGACAAGCTCTAAACACAATTAAATACAAGAACACGCCAACAATCACGCAGGACCATCAAGAACATCAAGAATAACAATAATTCATATCACAACTCCTAAAGACAAGCTCTAACAAGGCACAAATACAAAATCACACATTCAATCGTCCAACGGAGCCAATCAATAAACAATAGCAAGGAAAATAGATTTTGTAAGACATAGGTTACCTGGTAGCTTTAATTAAACTTCTTACGACTTCTACAATCTTTCCTCAAGGCCTTCTTTCTATCAATCTTTCCCTAGACTTAGTGGTGGGAATTCTTTGTCTGAATTCTTGGGAGGGGATTTTCGAGTAATGAGGAGGGAGAGAGGGTTCTAAAGCTTTCTAATCCCTTTTATATAGATTTAGGATTCCTAATTAGAATATGATTAATACTGGGCCTAACTTCTTTATCCTATCAGGCTTTAAGGCTCTAATATGGGCAAGGGCCACGGTCTCCCGTGGACTAACTAATTAATTTAAGGGCCTTCGCTTACTTAAATTCCTTTTTAATTATTCTTTAACGAAATTAATTAAATAATTAATTTGAGTTTAAAGGGTGTAACACGGGGTGTTACACTATTATTTCCATCTTATTACTACCAATCAAGGAAGGCAATCCAAGATAATTACCACTCATGTTCCCCTCCCTCATGCCCAGAGCCTCACAAATAACCCCTCTAATGCCCCAACAACATTTTTACTAAAAGTAAGTGTGGATTGTTGGAGATAATGAACCACAATCGATTTAATATCCGTAAAATAATATTTATATATATATACACACGAAATATATATAAAATATTATTGGATATATATCCGAAATATATATATATATATATATATATACACACAAATATATATATAAAACGGACCCAACGGTTATATATATACATGTATATCTACGAAAAAGATATACCAATATATATCAACCAAAAAGAAAACATAATCCTTAGATTATAATTCCAAATTAACAAGAAAGAACGGATTTTTGCTTAAAAGCATAATCCAAAACAAGAAAGAAGGAGAAGGAAGAAAGAAATGTACGAGTTAGGCGAGTGCCTTTCTTTCCTTAAAACCTTATTTGCCACCTCCCAAAAGTGCTAGGAGCGTTGTGGCCTAGGTTTCCCAGGATAAAACGTACAACGGTTCGACGTTTTAGCACCCAAACGAACGAACCCGGCGAACTAGAGCACGGGCAAAACACAGCTTCAAGAATGGAGTAGGAGCAGAATTTTGAGAAGAAAAAGTGCTTATCTTTGTGTGTTGTGTCACTCTCGTTCTTCCCTCTCTTGTTGTCTCTCACTCTATATTATAGTTTCAAAAGACCTCTACTCCACTACACTCTTATATAGGAGGTTGGTACTTAATAGCATTATTATGACACATTAACCAACATAAATTCAATTTAAAAATTGAATTATAACGTTTGAAACGGTCGTACTTATTATCGAAATAATATCAACGGTCACGAACTTAATATCTGATTAATTCGTACCGATTGTAGCGACCCGTTTCAAATATCTGAGTGACCGAGAAGTCCGTACAAACCCGAAAGTTGAACACATTGGGACCGGAAATCACACCCGAATGATCCGCAAACACCGAAATTGTGCAACACGAATCAATGCATAAAAGCACTAACTCGTGCTGCACGAAAGAAGTTTACACGAAAGGAGCCAAATCTCCAAACACGAATCATTGCTCATAAGCACAAATTTATGCTTTAATTCCCAATTTAAGCTTTCTCAAGCTTATCAACTTTAAGCTGCACGAGATTAGTATTTCAACAAATTAAATACTAACATGCCTGCTTTGGCACAACACGAAAGTGCTACATAAATAACACGAATCTAATGCTAATCTTGATTAGCATTAAGCTTAAATTTTGACTTCTCTCAAATAGGTTCACTTTGAGAATCAATTTCTCATTCACCTATTATCCATTTTGAGCGTACATTATATCAAATTCTTCGTCTCACTACGAAGAACCCGAATCCACATTGACCCGATCCAAATCGGAAGTGGATCCCACATATATTTGTACCACAAAATAATCACTCAAAATATCATTTTAATGTTATTTTTCCAACAATCCCCCACATGAATGAAAATTGATTTTCAGGGTATTTTGAAATCGGAAACAACTGTGTTTAACGGTCGATCCCTGCATAGGATAGGTAGGGATCACTATACCCTTTGAACCTTCCCTTGTGAAGACATGTTTACTCTACTGGCTGTACGGTAGAACGCGATGTCTTTGAACCGACTGCCGTTTGTGTAGACGATGACATATCTCACACAGGAACCTCCCAACCATGCTCTGTTCTCATGAGTGTGCCCATTTTGGTCGTGGGTCACCGTCCTGGTTCTGCAAGAGTTTGTGAAGAATTTTGCCCATCAATTCGCCTTTGAAGCGACCCTCACTTCTCTCTCACATAGGTGATTCTTTTCCGAGTATCCCGCATACTCACACATGTCAACCGACATTCGAATCATTAAAGCATCAACATGTTAACCTTGCGCGGGAGTCACTGTTCTAACGAGGAGTGGTGGGAGTCCGAGACCCCCACAGTGACACGCTTCATTCCATAATTTAGTTGTCCCATTGAACCTAGGTGCTAGCTAGGTTGGGTATCCACTATAGAACTTTTAGTCCACGGGCTTTAGACCCAATCCTCGTCCCAACTTCTCCACAACCATTTGCTTACCCTCGGGTTAGCGAGTTAGCGGCCGCTACGTTATCTTTTGACATCACGTAGTCAATAGAGATAACCCCAGTTATGAGAAATTGTTTAATGGTATTATGTCTACGACTTGTGAGTCTAGACTCACCATTCCTCATCTAACTCTGTACTTAACCAATTTTGGCTTGACTACCGCAATGCACACAAATTGGAGGTACGAGTTCACCACTAGGAACATTCTCGAAATAATGGCATAGCCATTCGGCCTACTCGCTCGCGACACGAGTGTAAGGCTCTCAGCTTTGATCCCGTCGGATCTTAGCTATCACAAATTCATTTTGAGAATTTCCGTCCAACTGACTGCACCGGCCTACGTAAAGACGTAGCCTTTAATGGACTTAGTGTCCTTTGATATCCGTGCTATACTATCCAAGTACAACTAGATATCCGACGTAGTGCAGTCTAGAGTACGAGCATACCTTAAGTATCTCATAACTCACGCTATTGCCTTCTAGTGCGCAACACTAGGGTTACTCGTATGTCTACCGAGTTCGTTAACCGCTAAGGCAATATCCAGCCTAGTACAACCCATTAGATACAGTTAAACTACCAATAATCTGAATGTATTCTCCATGAGAAGTACAATACTCGTGATTATTGGCTAGTTGTACGTTAGTATCTAACAGTGTCCAAGCCACTTGATTAACATCCTTTGTAAGGATTTAATCAACACAATGAGATTGGCTTTACACGAGACCATACGGTCTTCTCACAATTTTAATCTCAAAGATTAAATCTGGCAAGCCCACACCTTTAATCGCACGTCAAATCTCAAATTTAACATGTTCTCGGTAGAATTGATCATGTGATCGTTACTACCCACGTTGAGTTTATCGTGTACAGATAAATAGTGATAACCTCGTCTATCGTACGCATTACGTAGACCTTTGTCACCTTTGTTTGTACTAAACTCGTTAAACATCATTGTATGATCAAAACTTACACGTCAAATACTAAGGCAATTGTTTCAAGCCATACAATGATCTCACCCATTACACACTTTCTTTTCATAACGCGGAACCACAAAACCCTCGGGTTGTTCCATGTCTATTAAGAAAGCGATACATCCATTTCGATAAACTTCCAAGTCTCGCTAAACAGCTCTCGGGAAGTATCATCCTAATGGATTTCATTCTCATCACAAGAGAATACATATTGAAGTAATCGTGGCACTCGTGTTGCATGTAATCTACAATTACAAGCCCGGCCAGTTTACTTCGATATAACCAACCGGTTTTATCTTCCGACTAGTGATCCGTTTAGGATCTAGAGGTTTTACAACCCGAAGGAAGAACAACCAGTTCCAAGTATGACTCTAGATAGAATTTATTTCACTCCGATAGCCTCTCTCAAGTTGGTCCATTTGTAAAAGTCACCACTTCTACATATGTTCGAGGCTCATTTTCTAACAACCATGTCAGAAAATCCAATTTCTTTACTAGTAAACAAGTTAGATTGTGCGTATCACACTCTAACATGTACGTCAGAAAATATGGACCAAAGGATTTTTCAATCCTAGCTCTCTTGCTACGTCTAGCTTTGAGCTCGGGTTCTCTTTCACACCCTCCAACCATAGCTACGCCGAAAGTTCCTTTCAACGTGCTAGGTCCTTTATTGATCGTTCACAAAAATACATCTTCCAAGAACGATGAATTTCTTGAATCAATCTTTCGTGTTCTTATGTACATCCAAACTCTTAGACTCGTGTACTAAGAACCAATACACACCTTTGACAAGACACCCCCACATTTCAGGCATTAGTAGGAAAGCTTCCTACGTACTCACAATTCGTAAGAATTTCGTGCGGGTAACCTTATTTAAAAGGTACTTACTTGTCCAAAGTATTGTCTCACCCCACATACCTTGAGGTAGACCCGAACTTATCAACGTCTTGATATTTATGTTCGGCAACAGTGTTCGATCGACGTGAATACCGTGTCGTACGCTCGAGTACGATACCAACGCTTTCGCAGAAATCACCAATAGGTGTTTCATATTCACTACATCGATCGTTCGCAACCGCATTAATCCACGATTAATTTGGTTTTTCTCTTTTTATTCTTTAAAGAATAAACATGTGTTACACGCTAACACATCTCGTAGGTGCTAACAGATTAGCCCTCACGAATCCATTCAGTTTTGACCGAAAGGCCACAAACCCGAATCAGTGCTTCCGAAATTGAAGCACGAATCAGTGCTTAGTAGTGAAGCACGAAACATGCTATACCAAGCACGAATCATTGCTTCTAAACTAACGCATCGATTCCAAAGCAATCTCTATTGCTTTAAATTATAAACTCACAACAACCATTGGTTGCTTGACTTATAATTCCAGTGCTACTTGGCACTAGGATTATTAGTTAATCTCACAATTAACCAAAACCTCCTTTCGTGCTAATCACATAACACTTTTACGACGCTAAATTTAATTAGCCACATACGAAAGGTTTAAGCTAAATAGATTAGCATTAAGACCAATCATAATCTAGCACCTTTATTGTTATTACCAAAGCACAAAATGCTTAAGTTTTCAACACCTAAAGGTGCAGCCACCAAGTGGCCGAAAGTACCTAATTAGTCACTCTACCTAGTGCTTAATAGCACTCTTACAGTGGTTTAATTTGCACTTCAAAGTGCCAAATTAAATTATACTTTCCATTAGTACTACACAAGCACTATTCTCACAATTTGTCTTAAATTAGATATACTAGTATAATTTGAAATTTTTTTGATCAAGTTAATTATAACACAATTAACAAAACCAAATCAACCAAATTTCCAAAACTAGTTGAACCAAACTCATATAATCGTCCTTAGAATATTGTATAAAATATTCAACACTTGAGCTGTGACGCTCACGATTATTTAGTTATTCCAATTTTTGACAAATTGATCCTATTTTGAAATCTGTATCGTTCAACATGAACTACAACCGAAGTCCTTTACGGGATTTCAAACATGTAACACGCTTGTTGCATTTCATTTCGGCCGTTAAGCCATTTTAGCATTTTTCACATAATGCTCCGTGATGCACTACGCACCCTTATTGAATCTTATATATATTAAAAATATCACACAAGAATATTTTAAAATATACAAAGTTCAAAACACACAAATGGAACAATTCATTTTATTCAACAATAAAATGTATCACAAGGATACTACAACATTTATTTAACAAATAAATAAATAGGAAAAATTACATTGGAAACCAATTTCCATTATTCCTATGTAGTAGTCCTTCGAACCCGTGTGCCTTGTTCCATTCTCAACCGTCCACTCCACAATGGGTGGTCCACAGCGCACATCGGGGGTACCTATGGTTGTGACCTCACTCGTCCAACCATCCACATGTTTTAAACATAGCGAAATTGTCCTCAACCTTTTCACCAGGATGACGGTTCGCTTTGTAGTGGCATTTCTCCTTCTTCTCATAATCATCTTGAAAGCTAAGCTTCCGCTTGCCTTTCCTTTGATTATCGTTGAAGACATTGGTCACACTACAATAGTCCTCAGACTATGTAGTCATTACACCATCATAGGATCCTTCATGGCTTTTAGCCGATCCACTAGACAACACAATAGGTACCAATTGTGTGCCATTTGCCACTGGTCTACCGGATCGTGAACCAAAGTTCTCTGGAGCACCATCGTGTGTTTTTGCAACTCCCATAGAAATATTATTTCCAACGTTGCCGCCGTCAACCGGCTTCACAGAATGTGCAACATCGTTGCCGTTCTGACCATTTGAATGTGCACCTCCAGCAACATTCACGGATCCAATACTCTTGAAATCCAACGATTTGTTCATTATCAAATAAAATAAGGTTTTAAGATTGTTGGAGATAATGAACCACAATCGATTTAATATCCGTAAAATAATATTTATATATATATACACACGAAATATATATAAAATATTATTGGATATATATCCGAAATATATATATACACACAAATATATATAAAACGGACCCAACGGTTATATATATACATGTATATCTACAAAAAAGATATACCAATATATATCAACCAAAAAGAAAACATAATCCTTAGATTATAATTCCAAATTAACATGAAAGAACGGATTTTTGCTTAAAAGCATAATCCAAAACAAGAAAGAAGGAGAAGGAAGAAAGAAATGTACGAGTTAGGCGAGTGCCTTTCTTTCCTTAAAACCTTATTTTCCACCTCCCAAAAGTGCTAGGAGCGTTGTGGCCTAGGTTTCCCAGGATAAAACGTACAACGGTTAGACGTTTTAGCACCCAAACGAACGAACCCGGCGAACTAGAGCACGGGCAAAACACAGCTTCAAGAATGGAGTAGGAGCAGAATTTTGAGAATAAAAAGTGCTTATCTTTGTGTGTTGTGTCACTCTCGTTCTTCCCTCTCTTGTTGTCTCTCACTCTATATTATAGTTTCAAAAGACCTCTACTCCACTACACTCTTATATAGGAGGTTGGTACTTAATAGCATTATTATGACACATTAACCAACATAAATTCAATTTAAAAATTGAATTATAACGTTTGAAACGGTCGTACTTATTATCGAAATAATATCAACGGTCACGAACTTAATATCTGATTAATTCGTACCGATTGTAGCGACCCGTTTCAAATATCTGAGTGACCGAGAAGTCCGTACAAACCCGAAAGTTGAACACATTGGGACCGGAAATCACACCCGAATGATCCGCAAACACCGAAATTGTGCAACACGAATCAATGCATAAAAGCACTAACTCGTGCTGCACGAAAGAAGTTTACACGAAAGGAGCCAAATCTCCAAACACGAATCATTGCTCATAAGCACAAATTTATGCTTTAATTCCCAATTTAAGCTTTCTCAAGCTTATCAACTTTAAGCTGCACGAGATTAGTATTTCAACAAATTAAATACTAACATGCCTGCTTTGGCACAACACGAAAGTGCTACATAAATAACACGAATCTAATGCTAATCTTGATTAGCATTAAGCTTAAATTTTGACTTCTCTCAAATAGGTTCACTTTGAGAATCAATTTCTCATTCACCTATTATCCATTTTGAGCGTACATTATATCAAATTCTTCGTCTCACTACGAAGAACCCGAATCCACATTGACCCGATCCAAATCGGAAGTGGATCCCACATATATTTGTACCACAAAATAATCACTCAAAATATCATTTTAATGCTATTTTTCCAACATTTTGAGTAATTCACAGTCTGCCCCGAAACCTCTGCAAAAGTATCAATAACATTTTTAAGAACAAGACTTTCAGAAGTAGAAGCTTTACAAAAAATATAATAATCATTCGCAAAGAAGAGGTTGGTAATCACAAGGAGTGAAATAGATACACCATGAATCATCCCTTCTCTTAATTTCCTCTTAATCATAATGTGAAAGGCTTCCAACACAAGGATAAAAAGATAAGGAGGAAATGGATCCCCATAACGTAACCCTCTCTACGGAGAAACAGACCTAACTTCCATCCATTCCAAAAGAATTATATACTTAATAGTAGACACCATCTCCCAAATTAGCTTAATTACATGCCCAGAAAATCCAGTCAACAAAGCACAACTCTCAGAAACTCCTAGCTGACCCTGTCATATACTTTGCTCATGTCTAACTTAACCCCCACAAACTGGGTATTCCCCTGTCTCTTCCTTTTCAAATAATACACAACCATATCATTATCATTTATCAATCTACCAGGGTTGAAGACAGTTTGGGAGTCTGACATAAGATGGTTAAGTAGAGGCTTAATCAGGTTGGCAAGAATTTTAGAGACCTCCCGGCAACTTCCCAGAATGAGAACACTCATCAAAATTTCAACAACTCTAGACCTATAATGTCCCAAAAATGCTAAAATGAAACCCAGACTCTAACCATCAGAACCAGGGGATTTTCCAGGTTTCATATCAAACAAGGCTTCCTTAACTTCCTGCAAAACTACCCTACGACCCAAGACAGAATTTTGGGCCTCAAAAACCTTTGACTCAATATACTCAAGGACATGGCTCATATCCCCCCCCCCCCCCCCCCCGCCCCTCAACTAGGGGTGTAGACAAATCAAATATTTTTAATTCGAATTCGAATATTTCCCTCAAACCACTAGACTCCACTGCTTCCCGGAATCCTTTAATTAGCCTCTTAGGTTGGGGATTCTCGCCAGGCTTTTCTTTAGGATGGAGAACATCATTAAAATCCCCCATAACCACCCATGGCAAGGAGTTAATGGAGGACAAATGCTTTAATAGATTCCAAGACTACACCCGCCTGTGTCTCTTTGGAACACCATATAATCTAGTGAATCTCCACCTCCTCATCCCCAGGACTCAAACACACCTCGACATCACGTGGAATAATACTTGATATCCACTTTTGTCCCTTCTTTCCAAAACATTGCCAAACCACCCATATGACCCGCACTGGGACAGTTCCAAGACATGAGACTCATTTTTCTGGGTGGGCCTAATCCACAGGTCTCGCCCTTGGCACATTTTTTGGATTGGATCCTGAACCAACGACCTCAATGTACTCGGAGATGGGTTTCTCAATTAGGCTTGCGGTATACACCCTTCTTCGTTTTTGCTCAAGAACAACGAGCCCATCAACCACATTACTATTTTTAGCCTAATCCATGTGAGTATCTCCAGACCCACCTGTAACACCCCTGATTTCCATACCGATTTAAAACTTAATCATGCAGATAATCTAACCATAAAAAGCATACACAGCAGAAGTCTAAGAATGAAATAGATGGAAAACGTAGAGTGTTATGCCACGTCCACACAACGGTGAACGCACAGGCGTAAACAACATCAACATAATCTGTCTATAAAGGAACAAGGTCAACAACAACAAGTCTAGAGTCTAGCAAAGGGCACACATGCCAAAACATACTACAAGGATTGAGGGATCTATTCTATCTGTCTCTAGATCGCGCTCGACCCTACTCGGCACCTGAAAGAAACACATAAATATATGGGACGACGCCCGATCAGCGAATGATGCTGGTAACCCACCAATACATGTGAAATATCATACATAGATAGGAGAGTTTATTACCGAAATAGTCCATCGATTATTGCAAAATTACCAATTTAGTCCTTGACAATTTTTCTTACCCAATTAAGTCCTCGACTTTGAAAATGTTAACCATTTTGGTCCTCCGTTAAAATTCCATCCATAAACTGTTAAATTTAAGGATAAAGAGGTAATTTCATACTCCCTCTGTCCCGAAATCAATGTCTTACTTTGTTTTGGCACGCATTTTAAGGTAAGTAAAGAAAGCTAACTCCCTTTCCATTTATGCCCTTGTTCTCTTGGTAGTTTGAATATTTGGTAAAGTACATTTCTTCTTATTTCTTTTATCTCATTTGAGAACGCTACTACTCTGTATATTTCTTCATCTCACTTGAAAATAATTCAATCATCTTTCTTCAATTTTTTTTTTTTGTGCGAGACCCATTCATAAAAAATAAATAAATAAATAAAAAATCGAACTATAAGAAATGTAGATCCATGTATCCAACGCCAAAACTCTCCGATCCATGTATTTGAACATTATCAAATGTAGATCCATGTATCCAACGCCAAGTTCATCTCTGCTTTCGTGCTGCACGTAGTCTCTATTTTTGCTAGCCGGAGCTACACGGCGGTGACGGAGGCGCAGGGGTCTGTTTCCGGCGGAGCTAGGAGGAGCAACACCATGCTTAAGAAAGGAGGAGATGAATCGAGGAAGAGCGTAGCCACCTCATGGATTTCGGTTCTCGTAATCGGAATCCACTGATATGATGTTTAGCTATACAATATGTTCTTCATTTTTCTATGTTTGAGAAGTGAAAATGAAGTTCGTGAAGTGGAAATGAAGAAATCGAAGAAGACAAATGTAAACATATGTTTTTCACTTTTTTTTAATTAGGCACGCCTTTTGAGGAATTTGTGTGGATGAGAGTTGTTGGCCCGATGAGGGTTATTAGCCTGATGGAGTAGTTGTTGTTTAAGTTAAAAGGGAAAAATAGGAAAAATAGAAATATAATGATGTTCATTTTTGGAAATTGGACAATATTTTGGGACGGCTAAAAAAGGAAAGTAAGACAGATAAAATGGGACGGAGGGAGTATATTTTATTTATTAAAACTTTTCTTTCTTCTTAGTCTTTCCACTCCCTTCATCGATGCCTGGTTTAGACGATTGGGATCATCCTTTCACTGATCTAGAGCTCGTAGAAATCGAAGCCGCTTTTCAATCTGCCACCAACAAGTGCAACAATTCTGATAAGTTCTCCACTCCCCGCTGCCGAAGATTAGGTTAACACGATGGAAATAAATTTTGCCGGAACCATTGAATGGAAACCCACTTCCAAAAGAGGTAGGTATACAGCTCTCCATCTGCCCTGCAACTTTTTTTCCGGCGACATATTAATGCTCGTTGTTTGTTGAGGCTTAAGAAAGCTTATCGAGATGCAGAATGATGAGGGACAAAACATGGATCTTTACATTCTCAGGAAATGCTCTGCAACGATTAGGCTGATTACCTCAAAGGATCATGCCTCTGTTTAGATTAACATTGGGCATTTGAATGAGAATGGTACGGTGTGTATGTGGGAAATAATGTCTTCTTTATGTAGCTTCAGATCTTGATTCTTCACTACTGGTTCTCTGATGGGTTCCATGGCCCTTTGTCTGACCTCAAACAACCTCCATGTTCAGTACAAGTACAGCTACCGCCTTTCATCAACGACTTAACATGACCATCCTCCAAGAAAACAGAAGCTCCAAAATCACTTCTTGACCTGCTTTTATTCTTAAGAGAATTCCTCATTTGATAGGCCTTCATCTTCAACATCCCAATTCTATTCTTCCTTTCCTCCTCTGAGATCTCAAACTCTGATTCCTTTTCATTTCTTCCATCACTGCCATGTGATCCTTCAAGGAAAGGAACCGCAAATCGATTGAGCGCATCAGGCATTTCCATTCTGAGTCGAAAGATCCACCGCCGCGGCCGCAGCGTCGCCGATCTATAAACGCTTCGAAAAAAAAACTTCACTCCGTGATGATGGGAGTATTAGTCGCACGGAAGAAGGAAGCAGCGGTGAGAGGAGATGAGGATGAGTTTTCGTCCTCATTTTTATTATATTAACAATGCACTTTTTTTGAAAAAGAAAAAAAAAAAAAGAGGTAGGTATACAACACTTCCAGGCCCCATTTGGATCTGAAAGTTTTGTTCCCAAGAGCTTTACGTGGAAAGATGAGGAAGAATGAAAAATTTTAATAAATAAGATAAATGAAATTACCATTTTATCGTTAGATTTAACAGTTTATGGATGGAATTTTAACGGAGGACCAAAATGGTTAACATTTTCAAAGTCAAGGACTTAATTGAGTAAAAAATATTGTCGAGGACCAAATTGGTAATTTCGCAATAGTCGAAGGACCATTTTGGTAATAAACTCTAGATAGGATATATATATATATATATATATATATATATATATATATATATATATATATATATATATATATATATATATATATATATATATATATATACAAAATCATTTGCAAAACGGGATATAGTATATATATGTTTAAAACCAAGAGTAGAAGTCGATCACAAGACTCAATACACTCACAACAAAGACAAGGGAACACATTCCAAGACATCAAGAAGTGACAACGACACCCAAGAACGGCTCAAGGCGTATTCTACCATCACACAGTAGAATATCACCCGACATGCATAATTCAAGAGAATAAGGACACACACATTGGCAACACATGCCTTTGTGACAACACATGTCACAAATAGAGAAATACACAACAACGGCAACACATGCCTTCGTGACATCACCCATCACGAATTGATATGCCTTCCTTATGCCCGGTTCCAACCTTATGGCTACTTCCAACCTTATAGCTACTTACAACCATTACCTCCAGGACCCCTGTACATACAAGTCCAACCTTTTCCCTCCGAGGACCGTCGTCCCCATCCGCCGACAAACTGCCAACAAATCCACCAATTCATAGTACACGAGGGTACCGATCACACACATGGCAACACATGCCTCCCAAGAAATACGTGAACCCGACACACAGGTCACAAACTCCATAATCACGTCATGGCCACCATGAGGACCACTGTCGTACCTTGGTGAATAATGTCCCATACCATTAATCGTGCAATCTAGGTACAGCCACGCACACAACACCATCACAGGAATCAATCAACGGATCACAACGAAGATATGAAACCATATTCAACAAGAGAAGGATCACAATCCGACAACAACAATGATTAACACAAGTCATCATCCACAATAGGAAAGAACAAACCACACACACTAGCATTTAAACACCGAACTAGCATGCTTATCAAACAGGTAAACCAAACGTCGTTCCGAAGAACACACAAGACTCATCACGGTTCAACGAATCACAAGGTTGAACACTTAGCACGATTCAAGACACCAAAACCTACATGGAATCCTACCATATAGTTCTAGACATACGAAACATCAAGAAGACGCTCAAATAGTTCCACAAAAGAACATCGGAAAGTCAAAAGACCAAATACCGAGTCAAAAGAATCACGGTGAACAAATCCCCGCCCAACACCAAAATACGTACCCGCGGGTGGGGCCACGGGTGGACCCCCACCCGTGGTTCCGCCCGCGGGAACCAAACTCCCACGCCTTGTTCCCCGTGGGTGGGGCGGCGGGTGGACACCTACCCGCCGTTCCGCCCGTGGGTACACCTCTGTACCACAAATTATCCCTTCGGGGATTTTCAACACCAAGCTCAAATTCAAGTCCAAAACATGCCAAATCTCACCAAATACAACAAAATGACTTGAATCAAAGGAATAGGCAAGCAATGGCATACAAGAACCCTAATAACAAGCTCTAGATATGCATTTTCACAAGACAATGCATCAACACTCACATTTTATAGCAAAATCATATGTAGAATCCAATAAATCATCATATAGGTAAGCAAAATAGATTTTGTAGAGCATGGGTTACCTCTTGTAGACAAAAACCTTCCCTTAACACTTCCCAAAGCTCCTAACAAGGTTCACCTTCCACACCCACTTCAAGAACACACCAAAAGATCATAAAGATTCTACCTTTAGAAAAAGATACCTTAGAAAACACTAAAAACACAAAAGGAACATAGATCTTACCCTCCTAGATGCTCAAGAGTAGGAAAGGTGGAATCTTGGAGACAAACTTTGAAGATCTTGGAAAGTCTAAACTTAGCTTGGAGAGAAAGCTAGCTAGGTTTTTAGAGAGAAGGGAGAGCTTTTTGCTTTGAAAGTGTTAGGATAGAAATGAGAGATGTCTCCTAGGTTAACTTGGAATACAATCATGAAGGAAATGTCTTCCTTACCCTTACTAAGATGAAAGAGTGTAAGGGAACAAGGGAACTACTCACGAAGCTTTAGGTACAACACTTGACTTGGGTTGACTAGTCAATTACTAGTCCCCGACTATTGAATTTTCAGGAATTTAAAGGATTAAATTACCAATTGGATTAGGATTAATTACTTAATTAATCCCTAAATAGAATCCGGATTTACGGGGTGTCACACCACCACCTTCCTCTGTCACCATAGCCGTTGCATTAGAGGACATGTGTTTTCCTCTCTCGTTTTCCGTATTCTGAGTGTCCTTGTGAACGTACGCAATACCGGGCGCTGTACCCCCACTCTCCCCTGTCACCACCCCCTTCTAACCTTGACAGTGATTCTGTTTTGTCTCATAGTGACGTCTTTCTTCCAGAAACAGCCAACGTTGACCCGCCACCGACAGAACTCGGCAGCTCAGAACACGAATCCAAGGACCAAATGGTTTCTCCGCTGTCTAACTAGCTCCATCAAATAGCTTAGGACAGAACTTCTCAGTGTGTCCGATGATACCACAGATGAAACAAAAATTAGGAAGTCGTTCATAATGAAAGGAAATCCACGACTAGTCACCGCTACTTTGTTTGATCCGAATTTTACTCATCAGGGGCTTTGTAACATCTATCGTCACTCTGATTCTAAGAAAAGATTTTCACCAGCTATCAAAGTTACTCTCATCAATACGAACAAATTTACCGATAAAATCTCTAATAACTTTTGCCATCTTTTTCGAGAAAAAAACAATCGGAAGGTCATGCACATGTATCCAAAAATCTGCCATATCAAGGTTCATAGCAAGAGGAGAAATATCTAGTTGCAACTTGGCTAAAACAATAAGACTCTACTCATAAGCCCACGACCCATCATCAAGTATAGGCTTCATATCTATCTCATGAAAGAATTGGAACAAGAAGGTGTTGTGGGCAACTTCGTTGACCACCATTCCTTTGTCTAGACGTCAGATCGCCGCCAAGGTATATCTCATGAAAGTGAATTTCATCAATTTGTCGATAACGAGTTTTCCCACCAAAGTTAGGCGGAAGTCCACACCCTGTTCGAGCTCAAAACTTCCCAACTCATCATCATTGATCTCAAGAGCAGCATAAGCAACCTTGAGATCAAGGGTGGAATCACTTGGGTTCGTCACCTGGGGGACAGGAGGGGAGTCGGTTGATGGGACTTTAACCCGATGTTTCTTCGTGTTGGTAAGCCATGGAAGAGACAAAGAAGAAGGGCAGCAGGGCGAAAGAGAGATGGAGGAAAAATAGGAAAAAACTTATTATTCAGAACAATGAGTAGAGGCTAGCCATAGGAGAAGCTATGAGAAGTTAATTTCTTAGCTTAAATGCCTGTTTGGATGCTACGTTAGTCTTATATAAGGAATATGGGATTTGGATGTATTTTGAGGAGCACGAACATGGATTTCATTATGGTTAGAGGAATTCTATAGCAAGGTGTGTATCCTTCTAATTAAAGAAGCTAAGGTTATAGGAGTAAGGAAAGCTTTTAGTTGGCTAAAACGTTTGAATATAAACTTAATCCAAATCGAGATCGATGCTTTCCAAGTTTTTAATGGTATCGACTTATGTCTATAATCTCAACATTTGGTTTGATTTGACGATTTAATTTGACGATATTAAAGAAATGTCAGTGATTTTTCAAATATTTGTTTATGTTTTGTCAAATGATATGCAAATTGGGATGCTTATTTACTTGTTAGGGAGATCCTTTTTATACCAAATTGTACGAATTGGTTTTTCACTCTTCCTCTTGTTCTTTGTGATACTTTGTGTCTTGATATGATGAATTAATGAAACTCTCTCGTTAATTAATTTTTTTTTTTTTTTAAATAAAAAGAGTCAATTGTTTGTTTGTTTGTTTGTTTGTTTTTTATTTTTTTGTTGTTGAATTTTAATTTAACCCAAATGGGTAGTTTAAGTGACAAATGAACTTCTTTGTGAGGATGCTCTAGGGCGTTTGGTTCACGGAATCTTAGATTATCCCAGGTAATAGGATTACCTGGGGAAGGTAATGTGAGATTTTGAGAATGTAAAATTACCTGATGTGTTTGGTTAAAGTTGCAGGAATGTAACATTAACTTGTTTGGTTGAAGGGTATGTTTTAGGGTATATTACATCAATTACTTAAATGCCCTCATATAAATT